TAACCTCCAAGAGAGCAGGAAGGATTTAAAGGTCAATTTAATTAGCTTCTTCTAATCTCCAATCTTTTCTACTTCTTACTGGTATATTAATCATTAAATTATAATTCTTAATTTTTCAGAAAATGAAAATATTTTTATGCAAGCATATAACCTATTCAATCAGTATGCTGGTTTATATGCTAACAGTTGATATTAAAAAGGCTTTCAACAAAACTGTTTTTTTAAAAAACAGAAGTCAAAGGTAGAAAAGTCAGAATGAATAAAATTTTAAGCTGAAATTATTAAGCCAAACAATACCTGAATTGGGGGGGGGGGAATTTGAAATGGAACTGCTATGGTATAGGCAGTGGAGAATATATATATATAAATGTTTCTGCTGGATGTTTAGTTGTACAATGCTCCGTGCCAGTCAATTGCCTTACTGGAACTTCATTACACATCTCCAAACCCAAAATATGAATCTGATATTTTAAGGCACAAGTGCATATTTTGTCATGTAAAAGATTATCGAAGGTCTTTGAGGGTTGTAACACAAAAAGCAAATTGGATCTCCTGGAGTCATAAATCGATCAATCCTCTAGAAAGATAAAATGAAGGCACTGAAGCCGAATATGTGAAATCATTTTTTTTTTCAAATCTAGTTTTCTCAGTTCCAACCTGAGGTACTACCACAACTCTAGGAGATTCCAGATAGCACCGCTGTTGACCACCCAAGTTAGGGATTCTGAGATATATCACTATAACCGTGCAATAATAAAAGTAAAGCAGAGCAGAGTAAAATATTTCTGGACAGGATAAAAGCACCATGTGCAATAATAAAAGCCATCCTCAATTTAAAAACCCTCAATATTCTTTATAAATAAAAACATTAAATTAGGATATGATGGGGGGGGAAAAGCCATGAAGTGGGGAGACAGAAACTAACTAACCCTCTACAGGTAATCCTTAATTTATGATCATAACTGACACCAAAATTTCCATTGCTAAGTAATTGTTAAGTGAGTTTTGCTCCATTTTACAACCTTTTTGCCACCATTGTTAAGTAAATAACTGCAGTTGTTAAGTGAATCAGGTAGTTGTTAAGCAAATCTGGTTGCCCCTACTGACTTGTTGGAAGGTTACAAATGGTGATCACATGACCCTGGGACAATGCAACAGTCATAAACACATAGCAGTCACCAAGTGCTCAAATTTTGATCACATGACCGTGGGGATGCTGCAATAGTCATAAGAATGAAAATCAGTTGTAAGTCACTTTTTCCAGTGCCATTGTAATTTTGAATGGTCACTAAATGAATGGTTTTAAGTTGAGGACTACCTGTATAATACAAACCTTTTCAATTTGCTTCTTTCCCATCACTGCCATCATCCCTAAGGAACGGCCGTTGAACAATCAAAGTGGCACTGTAATCCTGCATAACTGCAGAGAACCTGATTCGGGGGTAAGTGAGTAGGAAAGGGATACTATAATAAAACTGGAATCAGTCCTGGTTTTTTGGGAAGATTTAAAAATGCTAAAAGACATCAGTCAGTTGTCTGCTTTCACAAAGATATAGTAAGATGGAGAGAAGCAGTTTAGCCCACTTGACTTGCAAAATATGCAGAGAATGTGACCTTTTTAACCCCCTCCTTCCATGAACAAATTTGTTACTCAGGACTTGAAAGAGAATTGCACTCTTGACTATGAGAGATTAAAAAAATGTAGTAAAAAATCCAGAAGGTAGAATTGTCAATACTATAAAAAAAGATTGAAGAATGACTCTAAATACTGAGACCAGAAATGCAGATTGTTGGGCAAAGCAACTTGTTTTCAAATGATACATTATTTGTAAGCATACGGATTATATCCAAGAAGCCTTTTGCTTGAGAAAGGTCACAGTCTTCTACTAATTACTGTCCTAGTTTTATGACAGGGCTCTGACAGCTATTGATTAGGTGCCTCAGTAGTCTGAAAATACATTAATCAGCTCAAATCAAAATCACAGTAGCCTTTTCAGTTCATGTAAACATTTGAATAATTAACAGCCTGCTTCAGAAAATATACCGGTGGGAAACTCAAGAATGCTACTTCAAGTATTTGTGATTTCCAAATGAACAGAATAAAACTAGTCATGATCTACTTAGAATAGATGTCCTAATATAGAAATTAAATGTGACAATTTACAGAATTTAAACTATTAAAAAGGAAGTGTGAGTTAAAATATCAGTAACAGAACTATTCTGCATTTTGTCACTACAAAATTTCAAGTATTTCAACAAAATAAATTTCCTTTAGAGGGCAATAGCCACTGATTATCCTTGAACTGCAGTTTAGGAACCCATCATGTCTAGAACAACTTATCAAGAATTATATATTGAGATTCCAAAGACATCTGGGGAGAGCAGTTGTTTTAATTACATTGACATGGTTTATTAAGCAACCTGGGAAATCTGCCATTTTGCTCATGTTTGCTCCGCACTGTTCTATGCTAAAAGTATAGCTGACAATTAAATTAGGTTTGGTAATTCCCAAGCCATAGTTTCTCAAGTATTTAAAATCAGAGTTATCATTAAAAAAATGAGTATAGAGAAAACCTGAGTGGCAAACCCAAGCTAAGCTACTCTAAGGCAAAACCTTCTGGCATCTCTGGTTGAAAAGGACAGGAGCAGCTGGTGATCAGAAAGCCTAATACTGGGTCAAATTGAACAACAGTCAGACTTGACATAAAGAAAACATAAATTCAGTTCATATGACTCCACTATGTTTGTATAGAAAAGAATTACTTAAGATAGCATTTTGTTGGAGATTTAATACAGATAATTATTGATTACTACTTACTCATTGAGTGACAAAGTCCACCCCTATTTGGTCCATGTTTTTGCTTTTAACTTTTGTTGTTAATTTTTAAAGTTTTTGTATTTATGCTTTTATACTATTATAAGCTACCTAGAGTCACTCTGAACAACGAGACAATAGTATATAAAGAAGCTAGCAAACAAACAATACTTCTTTAAAACACATGCTTTTGTAATGTCCTATACTTACCGTATTAAGTTTTGGGAGAAAGCAGACTATATATAGTCCTCAACTTTTGACCACAATTTAGAATGGAATTTTGGTGGTTGGATAATTTGGTTCTTAAAACAAATCATCAACTACCATTTTACCCCAGTCGTTAAACAAATCATATGGTTGTTAAATGAAGGTGGCCCCCCCACTGATTGTGCTTGTTGGAAGCTGGATGGGAGGTTGCAAATTGCAGTTATGTAACTGGATGGCACTGCAACTGGTTGTAAGTCAATTGTCAAGCCCCAAATCAAAACCATGTGACAAGAGGGGTGGTGTGATGGACATAATTCTGAAGATGGTTTTTAAGTCACTTTTCTCAGTGCCATTGTAACTGAACCACTGTTATATTAATGATTATAAGTGGAGGATTGCCTGTATATAAATGTGACTATGTGACAAAAGATACAATTTTCAGACGATAATATTCTCTCTAATTCCATGGTACGTGGAATTGAACAATTGGACAATGTAAATGGATCCTCCAAGTCCTTATTATGGCTAAAAGACTGATACTGCAGCACTGGAAAGATAAATGCATGCCCTCATTCATTCAATGGATCGAAGATCTCATTACACTGGTCACCTAAGAGCAGATTGCCTGTAGTCACAGACTTTGTATGGATAAGCATAATCAATTATCTGACTCATTTATACAAAACAGGATTGAAAAAGCACAATAGTTATGTAAATGTATTAGAAATATATACCTTTTTGCAAAATATTTGCATTTGATATATAGAATTGAAACTGTTTACTGTTATAACAATATTTCATACTTGGCTTCCTTTTTTGTTTTTTTCTGATGCATTTTTGTCATTTTTTAGAAGTATTTGCTATGCATTTTTCTTTGATGATGTATGCCTATCATAAATAATTTGCTTTCTGCCTTTTTTTCTTTTTCTGTTATTATTTTAAAAACAATACAAATAAATATTTAAATTTTTTTAAAGACTTAATATAAAAGCAACATTGTAAATTCAGTTCACATGAATTACCCTTTCTCTCAGATTTCTCTTTGCCTACAACAAAAGACACTGTGTATATTAAATGAAATCTCACTATTCTACCACCTTCAGAAAGTTTTTCCAAGCATGAGATTTGAGGTAAAGAACCAATGTTTGTTGCATAGATTACATGTACAAAGAGTGCAACCTTTTTTTAAATGACCCAGCCTGAAGTATGTGCAAACAGACACTCAATGAAACGTCAAAGATATTTAAGAAACAAGTTTAAGCCAAACTTGGACTGCCAAAGATAGTGCAAAACTAGGTGACTTATTATCTTTAGATATCATCTTTGAAAATATACTATGACCACATCTTTTTTATACAGTCACAACTCCCAATTTATTTGTAAAGACAATTACAAACACAACATGACAAAATCGTAGTAGTTATCAATTCATTATTAGCTAATAATAAAACTAGAGGAAGTTGCAATCCCACTGGTAATTAAGAATTGCAAAGGAAAAGGAGAAAGAGAGTCTTCTCTGCAGCTAAAATGCAGAAAAAAGAAAGAAAGAAAGATAGAAAGAAAGAGTAAATTGTTACATTTTATACCAAAAGTTCACTTGTAATGTGTTTCAGAATATTCTAAAATTTACTTTGAAATTCTATGTTTTAATCATACCACTTTCACAACTGAGAGAGACACAATGCCTGCAACTTATAGATATTTGAGTCCAACACATTGCACAGCAGGAGCTGGCTTCTTACCTATGACTTGTTATATGCACTACTCAGTGTTTAGAACTACAAAGGCTTAGTGAAATACAGAAAGGAAACAAACACACCCATTAAATAATCTTATATGTCTCACAATTATCAGTTGAGTTTACATCTGGAAATTTACAGACATTTACCTTTCATTCCACCTACGTTTCTCCTAGCAAAAGTACCTAATCAGACATCTCCTAAATATCAAGATTTATTTAACATGATAACCAGCTTACCTGAAAGTCCTGATCATCAATTCCAAACCTCTCTCGCAAATTACGGAAAACCATTGGACAATATTCTTTGAATTTGAAATGGCTTGGCATGTTTTCTCTGAAAAAGAGATTTGATACACAGTGTGAGGAACTGTATATAGAGGTAGTCCTTAACTTGCAACTATTTGTTTATTGACCATTTGAAGTTATGATGGTACTGAAAGAATGATTTACAATCAATCCTCGTACATATGACTGTTGCAGCATTCCTGGGGTAATATCATCAAAATTCGGAACCTGGCACAATTGGACAAGTGGGACACAAGGTTACCATTTCCAACCTTGCCAGCTGGCTTCCAACAAACTCCATGAGGGGAAACCCATTAGCTTAATGATTGTAGTAAAAAAGGTAGCAAAATTAGACAGGACTCATTTGAGGACTCATTATTTAATGATGGAAGTCCTATTCATCTGTGTGCACCCCTTTAACAGAGTCAGTTTTTATTTTTCATATCTCAGCCTCCAAAATGTGGCTTGGTTCGTTTGCTGCAAACTAATTTAAGGTTAACAATATTTCATACCATTTTTTTAGAAGATCACATGATACAATTCAATAATCAACTAATCCTCCCTACCTTCCCAAAAGAGTATTTTGCCAAGTGATCCCCTTCCACAGAGCTCTTAAGAATATACAACTCCACTTAACAGTCATCAGTCTGTCTCCTAAACCTGCCTAATTAAATTCTGAATCCTTAGATTCTCTCATGTACAAAAAGAACCCAACCCCCATGCCACAGTCTACCACTGGGCTGCAGCCCGTTCGGAACCAGGCCACATAAGAGGCAATTAAGCACATGTTGACAAGCAGCTCTACTCACATAAGTGGCAGGCTCTTGCATCACACACACAGCTCCATTTGTGCGAGTGATGGGTGCTTGTGCTATCATGAGCAGTGCCACTCACACAAATGGAGCTGTGTGCACTTGTGTGCACATGCCTACTACTTACACAGAACCATCCCCCCCCCACATGCTGGGCTCCCAAACCGGAAAGGTGGGGATTGCTGCTCTAAGGTATTCTCCTTATAGAAGATCTTAAATTGATGGAATAATGCATGATCATTTCGCCCCATCCTTGAGTTTAAATCCTCACTAATTATTGATGCCATTTATATAAACAAGTGAGGATAAAATTTTCTATGCGCATTCAAGTGACATTGATCTGAGTGTGTGTTTTAAAAGAAAGAATGTAAATGTTAAAAAACAAACAAAATTTTAACTTGATTAGATGAAAGCAAAGGGACCAGTACCTATGTTTTCAAGTGAGACACTTAAGTTGCAATGCAGACTAAATTCACCATACCACCCTTGGATCTCCCTCCTGCATTACTTGGGGTGGCCAAACTAGAATTGATCCAATAGCCATCCAGCTTCACCTCTGATGTAGCCCAAGATTATTGAAGAAAAAGGATACAACATTGTGATAGATAATCAAAAAAGGGTTGGTTTTTTGATAGTGCAAACCAGCAATATTCCAGGTTAATAAGGAAATCGCATCACCATTCATGAACAGTCAAATGGGTTGATTTCTATTTTGGCAGGCCAATGACCTGAAATTGTTGTGTTGAACTGAAGAATTAGTGGGAAACAACCAGGCTTTTCTTAAGCATTGGCTTGTCTCATGCAAATTCTGTAACTATTCCAGGGAATCTTGCTTTGAGAAAATGAAATTAGAAATGTCCAATAGATTTTAAGTTGTAGTGTCTTGTTCAACAATACTGATTGGAGGATTGGTAGTTTTTGCTGTATGCTGCTCTTAAACAACTGAATCAGCAAGAGGTCTGCCTTTAGCCCCCTGCTTATTACTTATAGATTCAATTGCATGTCTTGGTGTGTTTGAGAACTTCTCCTTAGCTAAAATAGAACCCTGGGTCAGCCCAAGATCCCCTACTGGCTCACAAAGATCTGGGGAGCTATGGATTGGGGGATAATATCTAGCCATTCCATTCTCCATTGAAGGGAAATAATGGCTGAGGTTGGAGAAACAAGGCCTATCAGTGACTCAGCTGTGACCATAGTATTCCATAGAGGTTTCCTCATATTTTCTGATTTGTGTAGCATATTATCTTGTTTGGCCCTTGGTAAGAAGCCAAAAGCATCGATAAGGCCATCTTCAGTTATATCTGGAGAGTATTCATTTAGTAAATCTGATTCTCATGGTTTTGCTTTCTCAAATCTGGGAGTGGTGCAGTGGCTGCCCCAGAAGCATCCGGAAACTGACTTAATAAGTTTGTTTGATATAGGCAACATAGAATTGAACAGAGATTGATTTTTTTTTTCACAAAAGACTCCATGCACAAAATCTGAATGTGCTTTCATCTTAAATGACATCAATGGGATGATAGGTTGAAAGATAGAAGAATCCACTTTGAAAGATAGAAGAATCCACTAATGGTTTAAGACACTTGGGAGCTATTCAACAGCACACAGGTCTATCTGGCTGTTTTGGCTATTAAGAAATTGGCCTAGAGAAATTACTATTGCTCTCCTAGAATCCTGGGTCTGATATTTTAGCTATTCAAAAAAAAAATACTGAGAATGATTTGTCATGTCTGCCATAAACAGCGGGAACTAGAAATATTCTTCTGTTGTAGCTGGGGAACTTCAGTATGTGTGAAGCCCATCCTCTTTATTTTGTCAGGCTTTACAGTGATGTTAGAGTAAATGCTTGGGTACTATGACATTTTGTTGGATTATTTTACTGTTTAATTGCTTGCTCTTTAACAGCACACATTCCTCAGGTAGGAAGGTTAGATGGACCAATTGTATCAGCCTTGATGAGCATGAAAAATCCAGTTTCGTGCTTTTGAATATAAGCCTCAACGTTGTATTTCAGCATCTTCTGTCCATGTTTTATTGCTGAGAAATGTTCAGATATTAAGATCACAGTTTGAGTTGGGAATAGATATTGTTTTGCCATAAATTCTACTGAGTTTTTTCAGGGAGCCTGATTTTGGTTTTTATTTTTAAGCCTGTTTTGTTTCCCTTGAGGCTAGTAGATGGGGTAGTTATTTGGAATGGGTGACACACAATGAGAATCCACGAGGGAGTCCTGATTCCCATTTAGTTCTTCCCTAACAGATAAGGAGTGCTCTGACAACTATTGTTTTTCTACCTCTGTTTGAAGATCCCATTCTAAGGCATCAGATTTGTTTGAAATAAAAGGAGCATTTGTTTACTTAAAAGATCCTTTTCTTGCAAAGTGTTCTTCTATCTTTGGTTGTTTGGCTGATTTCTATAAAGGGAGAGAGGCTGGACTGATGATATATCATTTCTTTTCCCCATATCATTCAAATACACAATAGGTCCTTTATCTGTTCCTTTGCCTTCACATTCCTCTCATCCAAAACAGTGTAACTTGTCTTGAATTAAAGAGAACATATTCCAACATATTCCAACATATTAACAACAAGAAAAAAATCAAGGAAACTGTAGGCCCACTAAAGAGAGAAGATGGCAAGGAAATTACAGGCAACAAGGAGAAAGCAGAGCTGCTTAACTCATACTTTGCATCAGTCTTCACATAAAAAGAAACTATAGCCCAACGTACCAAAAAAAAAAAAAAAAAAAACCCACTGCAAAAGACATAATAGAAACAAAAATTAAAATAAGCAAGAAAATGGTAAGAGAACTCCTATCCGACCTTGACGAGTATAAATCACTGGGATTCGACAGATTACATCCCAAAATTCTGAAAGACTGGCATATGTTATCTCAGAACCATTGCATCACATCTTTCATAAATCCTGGAGCACCAGGGAAGTATCTGAGGATTGGAAAAGGGCTGATGTGGTCCCCATCTTCAAGAAAGGAAAAACAACAGAGCCAGGAAACTACAAGCCAATCAATTTAACATCAATACCTGGGAAGTTCCTAGAAAAGATAATCAAAAAACAGATCTGCGAACAACTAGAAGCAAACAAAGTCGTAACCAGTAGCCAGCATGGGTTTGTTAAAAACAGATCATGCCAAACCAATCTTATCTCATTCTTCGATAAAGTAACTAAACTAGTAGACCAGCGAAATGCTGTGGACATAATATACATAGTTTTCAATAAGGCATTTGATCTTACTGACTACTGCATTTGATCTGCCATGACTACTGCAGCCACACCCATCCAGTGGCCACGCCCACCCAGTTTGCAAAGCCCATGTAGCTGCAGCCGCCAAGTGGGCCACACCCACCCAACACCCGGCGATACATAAGTGGGTTTTGGGTTGCAGTTTGGGCACTTGGTCTCTAAAAGATTTGCCATCACTGCTATAGACCAATCAGTTTAACATCAATACCTGGGAAGATCCTAGAAATGGGATCTGTGAACAACTAGAAGCAAACAAAGTCATAACCAGTAACCAGCATGGGTTTGTTAAAAACAGATCATGACAAACCAATCTTATTTCATTCTTTGATAAAGTGACTAAACTAGTAGACCAGCGAAATGCTGTGGACATAGTATACTTAGATTTCAGTAAGGCATTTGATAAAGTAGACCACCCATCTATTCCTTGGTAAACTAGAAAAAGGTGGAATAGACAACATCACCACCAGGTGGATCTGTAGCTGGCTGACAAATTGTACTCAACGAGTAGTCCTCAATGGCACTACATCCACATGGAAAGAAGTTAGCAGTGGGGTACCACAAGGTTCCGTTTTAGGCCCAGGATTCTTCAATATCTTCATCAATGACTTAGATGAGGGAACTGAAGGGGAATTCATCAAATTTGCAGATGTCAGGAATAGCCAACATCCCAGAAGACAAACTAAGGATGCAAAAAGATCTTGACAAACTCGAATAATGGGCCCTATCTAACAAAATGAGTTTCAAGGTGGAGAAAAGCAAAGTCTTACACTTAGAAAAAATCAAAGGCACAAATACAGATCTTGGGCAAGACCTGGCTTAAAAACAGTAAATGTGAAAGGGACCTTGGAGTCCTAGTGGACGATCACTTGACTATAAGCAACCAGTGTACTGCAGCAATCACAAAAGCTAATACAATCCTGGATTATATAAACAGAGGCATAGAATCAAGATCATACAAAGTACTAGTACCGCTTTACAAAACCCTAGTAAAACCACACCTAGAATACTGCAGCCAATTTTGTTCACCATATCACAAAAAAGATGTTGAGGGTTTGGAAAAAATTCAGAGAAGAGCAACTAAGATGATCAAAGGCCTGGAGGCAAAAACATATGAAGAATGGCTGCGGGACTTCTGTTTGGCTAGTCTAAAGAAAAGAAGAAATAGGGGAGACATGATAGCAGTGTTCCAGTATCTGAGGGGCTGCCACAAGGCAGAGGGGGTCAGGTTGTTCACCAGAGCATCAGAGGGAAGGATGAGAAACAATAGTTGGAAACTGATCAAGGAGAGAAGCAACCTGGAATTAAGGAGAAACTTTCTGACAGTGAGGACAATCAACCAGTGGTACAGCTTACCCCCAGAAATCGTGGGATTACTGGAAATTTTTAAGAAGAGACTAGACAATCACCTGTCTGAGATGGTATAGATTCTCCTGCTTGAGCAAGGGGCTGGACTAGAAGACCTCCAAGGTCCCTTCCAGCTCTATTCTACTCTACTCTATTCTATTCTATTCCATTAAAAATTGCTAAAAACTAATAATACAGTTAAACAGGAAGGGGCTACAAGAAAACATGTTACTGACCTAATAACTCTGCCTTCTCCTCCCCCAGTCCCAATTGTGGTTATAAGATGAAACTATTTATTGTGATTAAGATACATATTATATCCATATTATTTCATATCTTTCAGATAAAGAATATACCCAAACACAGTTGTAATTATTCTCACTTAGAAGCCTGCAAAATTGTTGTTTCCCAAAGACCTTTGCACTACAATTCCAAATGCCACATTTTTTCCAATTTGAGGCAAATGTTTAGCCAGGCAAAGATGGACTTAAAGCTATTCTCAGAGATCTGTACAAGGGAGTCACGGGTGATATGGAGACATTACTGGAAGAATTGGACTAAAAACGTCATACAGGTGGAGACCTCTTCTTAACAAGAGTCAGTATAGTTAGATAAAACGAATTCTAGATGTTCAGTGGCATAAATTAGCACAAAATTTCAAAACTTTAAGGGCACAAAAAATTGGATTACAGAATACCCAGAATAATTTACAATCAAGTTATTAAAGCAAATGTTTCTGTTTTTAGAATGCTTCAAAATGTCTGCTTCAAAGAGATCCACTGCTCATACTATATAATGTTCCAAAACACTTCTTTGGAATTATGCATTTCTGCTCTGCTTGTCAAACAATTCTCCACAAATGGCAAAATCTGTATCTAGCTTCAGAAAAATATTTTCTTCCACTCTATGGATATGTCTCGGATATAACCTGCAGGATTCAGCTCTAATCAGTTTTTAAGCCTTTATTACTGCAAACTAGTTCAACATTAATATACATGACATTGAATTGCTTTTAACAGAATATTCCACTTATGCAGTTCCGATTCGAATGATTGTGTGCATATGGAATAAAACATGTCTGTGTTTCTATTTCCTAAATACTTCCAGAAATAGACTGTATTTGACTTAGCAAATCCTCAACAGGTATAACAATCAAATCTTTACATTAGCCATAACTTTCCAAACTACAGAATTCTCAAACATCTAACAGCAGTTTACCTCTACCTCTTAGAATAATTTAAAATGTATTAATAGGATCCTTTTAAAATCATATTGAGAAGCACTATTAGTTGATGCATACTAATGGAGACTCTCTTAGACTAGAGCTGAAATTCTGTGGAAATTTAGCTTGGAAGCAACCTTTTGGAGAAGGGATCACATTCTAGGACATCAGGCCTACAAAGGAGAACAGGCACACTGCTTCCTTCACTCCACTGGAGTTCCTCCTCTTCCACCTTTCAATTTCTTTTGGGATCCAAATTAAAAAAAAAACATAATGAAAAACCAAATCCACAATAGAACTGCTGATACTCTTAGCATATTTTTTAAAACCCAACTCAGAAAATCAAAATTAAGTAAAAATGTATTAATTTCAATTGAAAAATATAAAACAAAACAGAAGTTGGCCTAACTTACTTATTAAAAAGATGGTTGTCCACTTTTATCTTTGAATATGCTTTGAAGTCATCTGGCATTAGCATAACAGGGATTTGAACATGGCTCAGTTCATTGATCTACAAAGAAGACAAAAAGGAAATTGAAAGAAATTTGAAATATGAGAAGAAATTAATTTCTTCCTGCCTCAGTTGGAAAACATGAAGACCTCCAGATGTTGACTTTCTAACCATCATGAATACTAGTCATACTTGACAGAAAACACAATGCATGATATCCTTCAGCTTAAAACAAGCCAATTACAAAGAATATGTGAAAATTATTTCATAGTTGATGTGCTAGAGCTATGAACTGTAAAAATAGATTTATCTCAGTTTAGAAATCAGATTTTCCAAAAATTACTGCAGAAATTTAAGCACAAGGAAAGTATGGGGTATTAGTATTATATTGATTAGCACATTTTTTCATATCTGAATTAAATTTGAATTTGCTGTGTTTGCCTATGGCTGTTTAATATACCACTAATTTTTCTTGCTAATAAATAAAATTCCCTCCACATACACAATGCTTTTTTCAGCAATTATTAAATTACAGATAGCATTACTTACTACAGGGAGACAGCATAGAATTTAAAACAATGGAGACAGGCACAGCAGGGTAATCTCTTGACTTGTCTTTGTTCTCAGGCAATGTTCAAAAGCAATGCCTCTTTAATTTAAGAATATCAAACAGAAATAGAAAAAGAATCAATTGTTTCCAGATTTTGGTGCCTGGCTTCAAGGAATCAGCCACTATCGGGCCTTTCTGTGCCAAAAGGAAAAAATGGTTTAGTGTCATCTGCTACTCACAGAACAAATAGCATGAAAACAACAGTTAACTTGTATAATAACTGTGACACAAATCAAAACGAATGGTTTCATCAAAAAGAAGACCGTCATATTTTTGCAAGGAAAAGGATTTACAATATAATAAAACAAAATCCATGCTCTTCCTAGTGGAAAATTATTTTATAAAAGCATACAGAAAAACCATTGTTCAAGTTAAAAAACACAACATCTAGAGCTCACAACATGCAGACTTAGTCCCTGTGATCTTGAAATTAAACCATCAAGTAGCATTTGAAAGGCTTTTGCTAAAACCTTAGATAGCTGCCAATGACTCACACCACATAAAGCAATCTAAAACCTAATCTATAATATCTTGGATGTGTCTGAATGATAGTACAATAACAAGCCTTGTGATACTTTAAAAACTCTTTAAAGATTCCTTTATTTGATCTCAAAATTATTCAATGATATTTTTTTAGAAGGGGCGTTGTCTTATCTGAACGCCTTTTCTCAGCATGATGATGGATAATCCACAGATGGATTTCCTGTTGTCCATTCTACCCAACAGACTAAGTCTGAGAGTTTGCCACGCCTCCCGCTGGTCTATGCTGACCGAGTTCCGACGAAAGGGGAAGCAGCAGACGAAGTCCGACGCGTTGGTTCCACTACCCCTTACACAGGACCTGACGGCCACTAAAGGGGCGGGAGCGGATTATCCATCATCATGCTGAGAAAAGGCATTCAGGTAAGACAACGCCCCTTCTCCAGCATGAGGATGGTGTCAGAATCCAATTATATTTCATCTCTAGTTATCAATTATAAAAAAAACCCCATTTCTGCCTTCTATGGATTCTGTCATAGGATAAAGGGAAGGGGGTGAACAAAGGGGCTTTATGGCCCTCACTTCCTTCGGTACACTTCAAAGGAACTGGATGTGTGTATCACCAAAAGGACTAACTATAACAATGGGGCTATTACCTTTCATGTAGTTTTCTCTGAAGAAAGGAACTGGATGTGTGTATCACCAAAAGGACTAACCATAACAATGGGGCTATTACCTTTCATGTAGTTTTCTCTGAAGAAAGGAACTGGATGTGTGTATCACCAAAAGGACTAACCATAACAATGGGGCTATTACCTTTCATGTAGTTTTCTCTGAAGTCTCCATCCAGCCGGCAGTAAGGAAAAGGGGGTGGGAGTGTAATGCCTGAGACTGTCGCTGGAAGTAGGGGGTGATTGGGTGGGGCTACTGGGGAACCCCTTAAAACCTTGAATGGGAGAGCTTGGACCCCAAGTCCTGTCTAGAACGCCTGCAACCATTTTCTCTTAATAAAGGATGCCTGTTGGAAGAATTATTCCAAGAGTTCTGTCTTCTTAAGATGCAAAGTGGAGTGGGTCCTTACATTAGACAGGACTTGCAAAATTAATCCACCTGGAAGGGAGACCTTTGCCGGGGGATTTTGTAAAAATTTACCATGTCAGACAATGGAGCAAGAAAGGGGGAAAACTCCCTGGAAAGAGAGCCGCTGCCCCAACTGGAACCTTGCTGGATGTTGGGATCTGAGAGGTCAGATTCCTCAGGAGAAGAAGTGGTGGAGACACGGGACCACAAGCCTCGCTGGTCAATGGGCGTTGGAAAGAAAAGTGAGTGGGGAAAGGAATCAAGAAAGGTGACCCTGAGACGGGGGGCCAAGCAACCAGAATGGAAGCAGGAGACGGAGAAATCCCTGCACGCAAGTGAAGAGGGAGAAAGCTGGGCACGTACTCAGACTGGGTCCTATTGACCTGATGAAGAGAACTCTCAGCTCCCTAGGAGAGGAGAATCCTGAGCCCTACGGCCCCCTCAGCTCCTGGAGCCGCAAAGGGAGAGAGACACCGAGGGGGAAGTGGAACCTGCAACCCTGGGGACATCTGCTTATCCAGTAATCCCCACCCCCTACCTAACCACAGATGGCGATCTGGACCGAAGACACTACCACCAACAATGAAGGCACCGATCCATTCCAAGACGTCCGCCGTTGGAGGTGAAATTCAAAGGGGAGCCAACACGCTTGGGGTTTTTCCTAACCCAAGTCCTCAGCTACATGGAGGAATACGGGCGGCACATCCCCAGTGACAAAGCCCGCATCCGGATCGTGCAATCTGCCCTGGACGGACCGGCTGCAGATTGGGTGGTGAACTTGCACGACTCCAATGCCCCAGAACTCAGCGACTTCAACCGTTTCATGTCCTCTCTGTGAAGAAGATTTGAAGATCCCCTGGCTGATCGCAAAGCCCGCGAAAGGATAAAAACGGTGAGGCAAGGCAAACGCCCAGTGGCTGAATATACACAAGAATTCCGGGCCATTGCCAGCAAACTGAACTGGCCAGAAGACATCCTCCTTAGCCATTTCAAAGACGGACTAAATTATCACCTATATGATGCTTGCCTGCCCCGAGGGGACCCACACCAGCTTGAGGAATGGTACATCTTGGCAGAGGAAGCAGAGATCGACATATTGAAGAGACACTGCCGAGGAAAACAATGGAGCCGTTCTCCGCCTGAGTTGACACACGAACCAGTAGAAACCATTGGCTACAGCCAAGAAGCAAATGGGGTGTTTCAAGTGTGGAAGAGAAGGGCATCGAGCTGTAGAATGCTGCTCCAAAGCCCCCCAGCACAACCCAGACAGATCCCCAATCAGCAAATCCGGAAAGTCTTCAGCTAAGCCAAAAGAAACTGCCATAAGAATGATGGAAATTGCGGAACCCCCCACCTCTGCTCATCAGGGGGAAAGAACTCCAGCCTACAACGCAGGGCCGGTGGACGCCTCAGATGACAGCTCGGAGGGCGAACCCCTGGTAAGTGGATGCATCACACCCATCCTCAAGACAGTGACTATATTAATTCCCCCCATGCCAGAATTAACCCCAAACAAACCAATGATCCCATCACTGAAAGAATGGATGGAACAATTACAAGACACCTGGCCAATAGTTAGAAAAGCACTAGATGAAGCTAGGCAGGCATACAAAGCACAAGCTGATAAAAAAAGGGTTGAGCCTACACCATTCATTATAGGAGAAATGGTGTACTTATCTACAAAATACCTAAAGTCCCTACAGCCCTGTAAAAAACATGGACCAAAATATATAGGGCCTTTTCCATTTAAAAGAATCATAAACACAGTAACAGTAGAATTAGAATTACCCAAAAATCTCAGGCAAATACACCCAATTTTTCATTGCAGCTTGCTGAAAAGAGAGTGTCAGTCACCTCTACGGCCAAAAATCCCCACCACCACCTCCAATCATGATGGAGGGCGAACAACACTTCGAAATAAAGGAAATTCTTGACTCTAGGAGATATCATGGAGCGACTCAGTACCTAGTTGCCTGGAAATACCTCCCTCCCTCACAAAACGATTGGGTCCATAAACGTCATGTCAGAGTCCCGAAGCTATTAAAGTTAAGTTTCACGCAGAATATCCTAACAAGCCTGACTAACTTTTATACCTGTTTTGTTTTCTTTCAGGTGGATCTTTCGTATTTTTGAGGGGGGCAGGATATCAGAATCCAATTATATTTCATCTCTAGTTATCAATTATAAAAAACCCCATTTCTGCCTTCTATCGATTCTGTCATACGATGAAGGGAAGGGGGTGAACAAAGGGGCTTTATGGCCCTCACTTTCTTCGGTACACTTCAAAGGAACTGGATGTGTGTATCACCAAAAGGACTAACCATAACAATGGGGCTATTACCTTTCATGTAGTTTTCTCTGAAGAAAGGAACTGGATGTGCGTATCACCAAAAGTCTCCATCCAGCCGGCAGTAAGGAAAAGGGGGTGGGAGTGTAGTGCCTGAGACTGTCACTGGAAGTAGGGGGTGATTGGGTGGGGCTATTGGGGAACCCCTTAAAACCTTGAATGGGAGAGCTTGGACCCCAAGTCCTGTCTAGAACGCCTGCAACCATTTTCTCTTAATAAAGGATGCCTGTTGGAAGAATTATTCCAAGAGTTCTGTCTTCTTAAGATGCAAAGTGGGGTGGGTCCTTACAGATGGATAATCCACAGATGGGACATATCAAAGCCTGCTCTGTCCCTATGGGGGGGAAATAGTCAGGGCATGTGTCCCTCCGGACAACACCACTCGTTGTAACACCCTCCAGCCAAAGGAAGTGTCTGTGGAGGCAAATTTATCAATTTTGTAATGTCTTATAAATGGAGAGGACGACGACCAAGTCGCTGTCCGACAAATCTCGTCAATGGGCGCTTGAGTCGCCCAAGCCGCTGAAGTTGCTGCACTGCATG